ACATAAGCAAAATTCTTCTCATTCGGAATAGCGGGATCACTAGTTCCTAGAGTTGACACTCTTCCAAACCCGCTTTAGATGATAGTATTATTCATACTCCAAAAGATATAAGTGAAGTTCATGTAGCTTTCTACAATTAATATAAACTAACCAATGTCCAAGCTCAAAATGTATAAGTGAAGCACACGAAGCATTCTATAAAACCATACTCAAAAGATTTAAGTGAAGCACAAAGAGTAATTCTATAAGATCATACTTAAAAGATATAAGTGAAGCACATGAAGCATTCTATAAATCAATTAAGGGCTATCACATACTAGCATGGTTCATAAAGGAAGAACAACAAAAACAAAGGACACAAATCATGTGAACGAAACAAAAAACGAGGTATACCGATAATTGTTGAAGAAGAAAGATGGGATGCCAACCGGGGCATCTCCAAGCTTAGATGCTTGAGTATCCTTAGAATATTTACTTGGTGTCCCTTGGGCATCCCCAAGCTTGAGCTCTTGCCTCTCTTTATTCTTCTCACATTGGTAACTCCTCGTTCTTTGAACACTTCATCCACAAAAAACTTAACAAAAACTTTGTGAGATCCGTTAGTATAATAAAGCAAATCACTACCTTTAGGTACTGTTGCAAACTCATTCCAATTTCATATTAGAACTATATCTACTGTATACCCCCCGATACTACCCACAGATTCATCAAAATAAGCAAACAACAGACGAAAAACAGATTATGTCTAAAATAGGACAATCTGTAGTAATCTGAAGGTTTAATAAACTTTTGTATCTCCAAAAATTATGCAATAAGTTTGAAAATTTGAACAATTTACACAGAAGTAATGTGCAAAAAGTTTCAGACCCATTTGACTTTCCAGTAAAAAATGTAAAATCACGCGCTACAGCCAAAGTTTCTGTTTTTGTTCCGCACATAGTAAACAAGCAATCTAATCATCCTAAAACCAAAGCTTGGCACGTTATTTTTATATATAAGGGGATAACTATTTATAGAGAAACTTCCATGAAAAATTCTACATTGTTTCTGTGAGCATGAACACGAGTGCTCAAGGTCGACCCTCACTTCTTCAATGCATAACTTTCCAATCACTTCTCTTTTTAAAAAACTTTTTAGGCATGAAAGGCAAGTAATTTTTTATGGTATTTTCATTCTTTTAATTTTTTTGTATGTTTCACCCACAACTAAACAGAAACAAAAAGGAAAAACAAAATCTACTTAGTGAAGAAAGCAAACAAGCACACACGAGAATATCAATCCCACGCTATTGCTCCTCGGCAACGGCGCGAGAAAAGAGCTTGATAATCCCCAAGTGCAAGGAATGATCGTAGCAATTTTTAAAGGTGGAAGTGATAAGTATGGAGTGTCGAACCCACAAGGAGCTAAAGGTAAGATCAATATTCTCTCAAGCCCTATCTGCCACTGATATGACTCTACATACACCGAACGTTTGCTACCAACTAGCAACGAGAAATAAAACAATGTTGTGGGTATGAAGAGGATAACTTTGTATGATATCGGAGAGCTAAAATATAAAGTTAGGTGCTGTTATCATGAAGTTAGAATATATTACTAAATATTATAAATAGCGAGTGTGGAATAATGGTGAATCAGTGTGCGGAATTGTCCTAGGCAATCATTAACAAGACCGGTAATCACTATTGCAGTTTCATATGAGGGAGAGGCATAAGCTAACATACTTTCTGTACTTGGATCATATTCACTTATGATTGGAACTCTAGCAAGCATCCGCAACTACTAAAGATCATTAAGGTAAAACCCAACCATAGCATTAAAGCAGCAAGTCTTCTTTATCCCATACGCAACAACCCCGTTACTCGGGTTTGTGTTTCAGTCACTCACGCAACCCACTATAAGTGAATCATAAACGTATTGCAACACCCTACAGCGGGAATCCCTCACGCTTGCGTGACATAGAGGGCACCATAGGACAACACAAAAGTAAAACATACAACTCATACCAATCTAGATCATCAATCAACCCAAAGACAAAAGATATCTACTCAAAACATCATAGGATGGCAACACATCATTGGATCATAATATGTGGCATAAAGCACCATGTTCAAGTAGAGATTACAGTGGGGTGCTGGAGAGTGGACCGCGTAAAAGAGATGAGGATGGTGATGATGATGGTGATGTTGATGAAGACGATCACCACGGCGATGATTCCCCTCTCGATGGCACTCCGGTGCCACCAAGAGAGAGGAGGAGACGTTCTCGCCCTTGTGCTACCTCCTCCATGGCCTCCCCCCTGGATGGGGAGAGGTTCTCCCTCTGGTCCTTGGCCTTCATGATGATAATGTCCCCTCCGGGATCCTCCTCCATGCCCTCCGGTGATGATGTCCCCCTCCAGCAGGGTGCCAAAGAGGGCCTAGATTGGTTTTTGGTGGCTACGGAGGCTTCTGGTGGCGGAACTCCCGATCTAGGTTAATTTTCTAAGGTTTCTGTATTTATATGAATTTTTGGCGTCGGACTCACGTCAAGGAGGTGCCCGAGGCGTCCACGAGGCAGGGGCCCACGCCTAGGGGGGTGGGCACGCCCCCACCCACGTGGACAGCCCGGGACTCTTCTGGCCCAACTCTTTTACTCCGGGGTCTTCTTTTGGTCCATAAAAAATCGTCAAAAATCGGCTCGTCAATTGGACTCCGTTTGACATTACTTTTCTGTAAAACTCAAAGACAAGGAAAAAACAGAAACTGGCACTGGACTCTAAGTTAATAGGTTAGTCCCAAAACCATATAAAATAGCATATAAAAGCATATTAAACATCCAAGGTTGATAATATAATAGCATGAATACTTCATAAATTATAGATACGTTGGAGACGTATCACTGCTCAGCGAAGAGGAATCCATCTCAGAGCTCGACATATTCTGCGCTGCCCGTATGGGTATATACCCGTTCCTGTTGCCTTTGTGTCTTCTCAATGATGTGGAGAGAGATCAATGGCGAAGAGCGAAAGACTAGTAAGAACTTGAGAAATGTTTGTGTCCGCTCGACGCTGTGTGCGATAATATAAGATGATATGTTTTGCGCTTGACTAGCTACCCGCAGGCAATCCGTGTACTAAAATATGTTATCTTAAACGGGGAATATTCGCCACATGCTGCTACTACGCGACAAAGAGAAAATGTGTGCAGGGTGATCAAAAGTAAAACAATTCTAGAGAGTCGATCTTGTAGCTAGGCGGCTTGTCGTCCACGTTTCGATCTGCCGCAAAAGTAGGAGACTGCGACCTCCGAGTCCTTCTGACGTGTTCAGTATATTGATTAGATTGAAAATATAGGATAGATTAAAATTTTTTTTGGCTGGCCTTGTACTCGAAAATGACCATATACTTCTATATACACATATATATAGTGATACTATTCATCACCCAGGGTACAGAATAAGTTATTATTCACCCGACGTAATCTTACGACCGCTTCATAAATAAATTACATTTGAAATACAAATAGTTACACTTATATTGATTCACTACGTAAAATTTGATATAAGAAAACAAAAAAATACGTTATAAGACCAGAAATATCGCATTTTATATATGTTTTACGTTCGTAATTTTACATAACATAAAATATTTTTTACGGCGAGTATATATTTTCTTACGTTCTCTTTTTACGTATGAAATAAGACAAAATTTATGGAACCTAAAAATACGGTGCATTGACGTCAAAATAGAGAGGGGTGAAAAATAACTATTCCTCACCTAGGGTGACGAATAGCGCGACCATATACGGTGCAAAAGTTTTCAAAATTTTTGAAAAAAATACTAAACCAACACACCTATAATATATAACATGATCCAACGGAGGGATTAAAAAATACGACTGTATGTGTCCTGGACAAAAAAACAAATAGTTCAGTATATATTTATGTCGCAGTGAGCTGAAATGCTTATTATTTTTGTCGAGGACACATAGATGCATATTTTGACAATCCCTCCGTTGGATCATCTTATTACATTAGAGAGATGCTCCCATATTTATTTCATATTTTTTGATAACTTTTGAACCGTTATAAGTTTAGGGAAACTTAACTAGTTCTGTGGCAAGCTATGGTAGACACAGTTTTACCATCTACCTGTATGAGGGATAGTTATTCTTCATCCACCTCTATTTTAACATCTATGCATCGTAATTTTACGTTTCGTAAATTTTGTCTTATTTTAGACATAAAAAGAGAATGTAAGAAAACCTATAATTTTGTCGTAATTGTTTTTTATGTTACGATAAATTTAAAAATGTAAAAACATAGTGTAAAATGTACATAAAATACAATTTTTGACTTATATTTCTTTTGTTATGTCAAATTTTATGCAATAAATCAATATGAATGTAAATATTTGTATTTAAAATGTAATTTATTTATAACATGATCGTAAGATTACCTCGGTGAAGAATAAATTATTTTGCCCCCTGGGTGATGAATAATAACACTATATATATATACTATTTATCTTTATCTTTACCTATTAATAAACCAACTATTGCTTCTAGTTGTACGTCGTCATCAATTTTTGCAAAAAAGTCCCTACGGTTTTCGATATTCAACCCGCGCTCCTTTTTAAAGTGGAAAAACATTTCGACCCAGATCCGGCCCGCCCAGCCCGAGTGCCGCCGCTCCCATATGCCGCCACCACCAGCGCCCGCAGAGCGCCCGACCCCGAGCTCCTCCTCCCGTGCGCCTCCTACCCGGCCTTTCTCGCGAATCATCCGGCGACCGGCGCCACCGCTAGCGACTCCCAGGTCACGCCGCCGCTCCCCTGCCTTCTCTCTCTCTCATCTCCTTTTCTATCCTTCTCTCCAGGAGATCAGCGCCAATGCCTAGTCCTCGAGCTCACCTTGGAGGTTCGAACGCCGCCACGGGACCTCCACTGGACAGATCCGGCAGCTCCATCCCGGATCTGCGTGCCCTCCACCTCCTCTACCCGATCCGGCGCCGCCCAACCCGCCATGACCTCCACCATGGTGCCCGCCGAGATCCTGTTCTCCGTCGACGCACCGTCGTCGCATGAGGACTTGGATGCCTGGCTCGCTGACAACCTCCCCCAAATCCTACAGGAGGTTCAGGTACAACATCTACTTGATTAATTTCTGAATTCCACTTCTTTTTTGTGCATGTATATGCAATTGAGGGAGACTCATGTTGATGATCTTGTGTGCCAAATCTTACATGGACAGTTTGAATGTGTGATACATTGTGTGATCAAGTGACAAAATTTAGTTAGTGCTGCTATGTACTCCCTCCGTTCCAAAATAGATGACTCATTTTGGAACGGAGGGAGTATCAGTCAAGGGGATGGTGTAGAGAAGAGAGAATGAGGACAATACAAAGTGAGTGGGAGAGTGTGAGTGATTAATGAAGGGGTATAGGCTTTGTACTATTACACACAGTACATTGTACAAATAAGGAAGTGGGTAGTGTGCTATCTTTGTTGTGAAAAGGGAAGATTTCTTTCCTGACTCATGTAGTACCAGTACTGGTGGATCGATGATCTAAGGATCATATGAATGATTAATGGCGGGTAACATAGTATTGTTGTAGAGGTGTCGACGGCTGCAGTATTTGAATCTAAACATGTGATGCATGGAAGAGCTATTTTGGGTTAGATGATTATTTGGTTTTGGGTACAGAGTAGTTATTTCAGTACATGGCTTATGTCTCAGTATGTACTATGTACCTTAGTCCCAGCAAAAGTGCCAAACCTTGTGTATTTGTTCTGCAATCCTGGTAATGATTTTTTTGTAGATCTAATAATGCAGGTGAATTTGGGCTTGCCGAAATATAGGAGTGTGCTACGTGCCGCAGCAGGTTTGGATGCGGCAATAAAGACCATGGCTCGGCTTGGGGAGCATCAAGCATCGACTTATGTGAAGAGGCCAAGGTGAGCTTCTTCGGTCCAATCCCAATCTGAATCAGGAGAGCATATTCTTAAGGTTGTCATTGCACTTTCTGGATAGGTTAATCTATTATTTGCACCCATGAAGATGCATCAGATAGAGATTGCATTCTCAATGTCTTCCATTTTTTCTTCTCTATACAATTATTTCATTTCTCGATTTGTTGCAGATTCAAGGATTTAAATTGTCAAGATATATGGTTGTTGGGGATTCAATATTGTGCCATTGTATTTAAAATTTTGAATGAGCTGTCTGCCATTGTTTATATCACATCTTCCTTTGCTAGACCACATGAGCTGATTCCAACTTTGGCCTCAAGTTGCTCCCGTCTATGACAAGTAGTTAGTTTTATGGGTTCAGGTATTGGCAAGCACCATCCTTGGTTTAGTTCACATGTCTTGAATTATTTTGATCATTTTGGTAACATCAAACTGGGTTGCATAGAAGTATCTGCTAATTGGGTTTGACCTTTTTGAGGAATGCTACTACAACACTTCAAAACTACTAGGCCGTTTTCATCAGCAGCATACATATAACCACATGATGGAACTCTGTAATACAAGAGTGTATGATGCATTCCTCAGATTCTAAGGGATACCTGTGGAAGGTCTATGATAGCTGATTTTAGAAGATGCATTTATTGGTCCTGGCATTATAGTGCACATAGTCGCTGCTGCTGATGAAATACTGGATAATGACAAGGATAATTAGTTGTTACACGAACTCTAGCATGAGTATTGTTTATTTGACATTAATTGGATTGGATTACACCTTTTTGTTTGCTTGAACATCAGTATTGCAGTTATCTGGATGGATAGCTAGCAAACCATTTTGTGCATATCTCAACGGCGATGAGGTAGCCCTCTATGTTGTTGTCGCTTGATGTTAGTATTTTTTGGATTCAGATTTGCTTTGTGTGACGTTCCTCATGTAGGAATCAGTTTCAATGTGGAGAGGATTAACATTTTGTTTCAGTTCAGTTTGTAGGCCTTACTGTCTGCAGGGACGGCCCTGAGGGGGGCAGGAGGGGCGGTCGCCCCGGGCCCCCACCTTACAGGGGCCCCCACGCCTAGTATGCATGCATTCGGCCGGTAGCCCATGGCCTAATTTTTCGCTACTGCGACGTGCGATTGCCAGCCTGTATGGGTATCGCATAGTCAAAGGGCACACGTTACGGGAGCCCGAGAGCTATCTACGGTCGTTCTTTCATCTTCTTTTGCTCGTTTCCTAAAATTTTCCTTCGCGATGCAACTACGCGACCACGATCTATCTGTACGCGATGAAAGCGGCAATCAGCGGCGGCTACGGTGCAGAGATCGGAGAGCTTCGGCCAACGGAGAGATTGTTACTCTGGTGCTCCGGCTTGGCGCCTCTTTGTGTGATCTGATCGCTTCTCTAATGCTGCGCCTAGAGCTCTAGGGAACTCCTCCTTGGATCCAACCAGGGCATCAATCGATCACCAGTTAACCACTTCTTGTCTTGCCGGCCGGAACCTTTGTACCTACACGGGTAATACCATCAATCACTAATTAGTTATCTATATAGGTCAATTATATTAAGATATTTCATTATAATTGGTTTGTGGATCTTCTGCGTTTTTTGGATTTCAGAACTATGGAAAGGATTTGTGGATGAGTTGATAAAATCACAAAGATGAGCCATTGATAATTTTTTTGAGAATGCCATTGATGCTTGGACGAATATAGAGTTTGCGACAGTAGCTATGGATGGGCAAGCTAATGGAATACATGGAGAAAATGTGAGTGTAAGTGACCCTGAGAACACTCTTAACACATTGGATGCACGACACAGTCCGCCAGTTAATTTTAGGTTAACTTTGCATCACATGTTGCTTTGCATCGAGGGATGTAGAATTATATTAAGGTAATATGTACAGGTTACGTGACATAAATAATACCTTAATTTGCATTCAAGTGTTAGCTGGTAATAGTCCAACATATAACAGAAATAGCCAATGTGTCTTTGGTCCCATTGCACCCGAACTGAATTTTATATTTTAAAAGTAATGAGAAGAGTAAAAAGAAAGTGAAACTTTTACTTTAACAAAGATGACTTCGCGTAGTACTATATAAATGCATGAAAAATTTCGCGAAGGAATGACTACCATGGTATCCTGGACAAAAAGACAAAATTGATAGTACTCTATAAATGTTACCATTCACATTTTTTGGGCCTGCAATTATTTTCGCTGAGAATACCATGAGAGTAGTTTCTGCCCGAAACTTTTTGACTCCTTTAGTTTTCTAATATTTTTTTCCAATTCAGGTGCATTTGCCCTATGTTTGAAATATCCGCATCCTATATATATAATGATCGTTATTGTTATGGTGTCTGTATTAATGGCCCCGAATTTTAGTTTCGCCCCGGGCCCCCAAAATCTCAGGACCGGCCCTGACTGTCTGCAAATTCTTAACATACTTTCATCATATGTGCATCCATAGCAAATACTTTGATCGGAATCATAGACTGCTCCAAGATTACGTCAGTTGCGTAAGTGTAGCTCCAGTTGTTGACATAGAGGACTAGAATTGTCACATGTGTAGTTATGTTTTACCAATGCTACAGAGTATCTAGCAGATAGTACTCCCTCCGTTCCGAAATAATTGTCGCTGGGCAATCCCAGTACAAATTCCGCAACGCTATGAATCTTTTCCACTTTCCAGATTTACCCTTCCACCTTATCCGCTCGCTCGCTCGCACCGCTCGCTTGCTCGCTCTCCCTCGCCGGCCACCTTATCCCCTTCCCTCGTCGCCTCTCCCTCACCGGCCTCTCCTCTTCGTGGCCGGCCACTCCCTTTCCTCGTCGCCGCCTCCCTCCTCTCCTCGTCGCCGGCCTCTTCCTCTTCCTGTCGTCGGCCTCTTCCACCGCCCCTTTCTTCCCACCACCCCGCCTTCACTCACACCGGTAAAAAATATTGATTCTTTTTGCGTCTTCGACGAGCTTCTCTGCGACGGAGGCATGGATGTGTAGCGGCGCCAGAGTTGGATACGGGCTAGGGGGCATGAATGTGGACTGGCGCCCAAGCGGACCTAGAGCGACGGCGGAGCAGCGGAACGGCGCCGGAGCCTCCACGTCGCCGTCGTGCACATCTCGTCGTTGTCCTCACACATCGACGCATGGTACGGCCTCTCTCCTCTCCACGCTGAGTACTTGCATTCTCCACGCATGGTACTTGGAGTAGTTCTTGATCCAGTAGTACTTGCAGTAGACGGATTCAGTAGTTCTTGATCCAGGAGTACTTGCAGTAGTTCTTGATCCAGTAGAGTTTAGACAGCTTCCCTTATTTCCTCCATTACTTCTTTGTAATTCTGGATGGGGAGTCATCTCTTTTGAAATGCAGTAATGCCAGCAGTATATCTGTACTTGTACAGACCATCCACCAGACTTGCTAGAAGCAAAGTTCCTCTTCCTGATTTTCTTCTTTATGAAATGGTATCTGCTTTGGGGTTGCAGTACTTGCAGTAGTTCTTGTGCTACTGAAAGCAGTAGTAGCTACTGTTATTTTTTTGCACATGAAGCCTCAGTAATGCAGTAGCTTAATTTTGGAGTAAAATGGAGTATAGTATTGTTTTGGTTGCAGTAGTTTCCAGTATATCAAATTTGGTGGTATTCAGTGCAAGAAGGCCAAATCAGATTCAGTACTGTTTTGGTTGCAGTAGTTTTCCAGTACTATTTTGGAGTAGTGGTTGCAAGATTTAGAGTACATTTAAGACAAGTAATCTTGCATTTTCTTGATCTGTTTTGCTTCATGTTCCAGCTGAAAACTGAATGTACAATGTTTCTGTAGATAATTTGATCGAAAAGGGACGGCATGCTGAGGTGTGCAAAAGACAGTTTGCTGATGGACAGTTTGCTGAAGGAGTACTTAACCAAGCATGCTGAGGTGAGCAGAGTAGCATGGAGTAAAATGTTTGCAAGAGTACAATTACAGGCATGAGTACAATGAATTAACCAATGAGTAAAATGTTTGGTTTCCTTTTTGTATTCCAACATGTATTCCAACATGTAGGAGTAAAATGGATGCCCAGCTATGTTTATCTGTTGACCACTGTATTAAAACCTGTAGGATATCTAGCCTCAGATGTTATGACCAAGACCAACTAAAAAAGCCTGCAACTGAATCTTGATACTCCTGCTACGAATACAATCAAGCCGAGAAAATAAATGTGTTGTCCAGATGACATTTCACTATTTTATTTCAGTTTCAGAAATACACATTGATGGACTATGTCTAGTGTTTTTGTTTACTGAATTTCGTTTTGCTGTGTTACTGTGTCTCTCATTCTCTTTACCGTGCCTAATTGGACATGCTTACTCTTGATTATGCTCCGGTTTAGGTCCCGGTTGGTATACTGCCAGCAGCCTTGCCGGTCCAAGCAATCAAAATCATCAGCAAGTCAATAACGGAGACGGTCGAGCACTGTCATCACACTAAACCTGCAACACCAGTGAGATGACTGAAGATTGGGTTGTGGTTGGAGTGAGAGGAGAAGCAAATCACTTGACCAGTTGAATCCTTGTGAGTGCAACCCTCTATTTCATTCCCACTTTGTTGTGAGTGCAACCCTCTATTTCATTCCCACTTTGTTGTTGGCAAAGTGATTTGTCACTGTATGATCATCTGTTTCTTCAGTGCAACATTCTTCAAAGTATGCCATGAAAATTTCCAAAAGAAAAAAGTATGCCATGAGAATTTGGTTATCTGATTTTTTCTTCTGCAGGGGTGTACAAGACGGCCGAGCTGTGGCAGGTGAAGGAGCCGCTGCCGCTGCCCGCGCCGAAGAAGCGCAACTGCTCCATGGTGTTCACCCTCAACGAGATGGAGGAGGCCACCGGCATGTTCAGCGACAAGAACCTCATAGGCAAGGGCGGCTTCGGCCGTGTTTACAGGGGCGTGCTCAAAGATGGGCAGGTACGTTCAACTTCAGAAGATGTTGTTGTTTTGTCTCTTGGTACAGTTTTCAGATTACTGAGTATGGGCAGAGTCTGAACACTTCGAAAGCAAATACGTCCCTCAATTTCAGAAGATTGTGGTGTTTTTGTCATTTAGCTTTATGTGTGTTTTCCAGATTATATTGGTGTTAGCACCAATGATTCTGTTTGGAAGAGAACTTCCTCTTTGGTTTGATACACATACATTATTTGACTGTGATTTAGAGTTATGATTATTTGATGTGGCGAACATAGAATCCTGCCTGCGCATTTTGAAGCAAGACTCCTGTGATTATTTTGTACCCTGAATTCAAGTAAATTAAGTTGCCTGTACCAAGTTGAGTATTTAGTTCGATGAGTAATTTTCTGTCTGGAGATGAT